TTATTTTATGTATGTAAGTTTTGTAATAAATATCAAATGTTAAGTAAAAAAAATGGGTATTTTTTTTATAATCACAAATAATTAATAATTATCGGCATGATGTTTCGCTCATAATCAATCGGATAATTTTATTAAATCGAACTATTTTACTAAAAAATATTTTTTTCTTTTGTTTTTAGTATTTAACATTACAAAATTCTGTAATTATTTCTTTTTTTTAATTAAAAAGAAAATTATTAATGGTAATTAATAAATTGATATTTAAAAAATTTTTATTTTGATATTTACAAAAATTAAAATTAACGTTTTTATATAATAAATTAAATAATTATTATAATTCGAAAGAAATTATTTTATACGTTATATTTCTTGTCCGAATAATCTTAAATTAATTTTCATTTAATCATTTAATCATTTATTGTTTTCAATTGAGATTATTAAATCGTCAAATAAGTTGCTAAACAAGAATTAGAATATAAATCTCTTATTATAAAAATAATTATGAGCGACATCAAATACACATGTATATTCAACCTAAATAAAATAAAGTGTTCATTACGATGAAAAAAATATTGTGTTCGTATTACTCATCATGTATTTTGTACGCGGCCTTTTTATATAAAACAGAAGAGTAAATTATAAATAATCGTCGCTTTAAATAGATACGATTTCGACGTTAAAATACAGATAATTATTAAGTTTTTATTTGTTCGATAAACAGTTCCTATCTTAATAATAAGTACCATTATTATTTTGGACAGGTACGATCAATTTGTAATCGTGACACATCTTTCTCTCTGTATAAGTATATATGTGTTTCTTCAGTCAAATATTAATGATATTTAATAATAAAGAAAAAAAACGACATATCGTTACGTCTTATTTTTTTTAAACGATTAACTGTACAATTAAACCATCATATATATTTTTATCTATTTCAAAAGAACACGTATCAAATATTAAAATTAATATATATATATATATATATACTTTAAAATTCATTAATCCTCAATCACGTTCATCATTATTATATATACGAGTCATCAATGAATTATCTCTATCACCGGAAGTATCTTCATCATATATATTTTTTAATGGATATTAATAAGATAAAATGAAGTAAAACGACGAAGGAAGATACAAATAAATTTGTGGTGTCTAATCGAGATTTTCTTCTAATTGAATATTTCGATATAATTAATTTGTATTTATTTTTTTTTTAAACTTCAGTTTTATTTTAATCTACCAGGAACTTTGAATTTCGTACGGCACTGAAGTATTAAAAAAAAACGTTCATGTACGCTCTGTATATCCCATGCTTGGCCATATAAGAAAATAACACGAAGCGTTTAGAGACGAAGAGTCAAAAGGGGTGCTCGTTATTATAACGGAGGTGATTTTTATTTCAACAAAAATAACAATTTTTTTACATTGAACTGTTTTGATAATAATATTATCGTGTATGCTACACCTGTAGTTTACTGTAGGCGTGGTATGTTCTCGCTCGCTATTAATTGTAGTTAATTTATTTGAATTAATCGCATTAATAGCGGGTTTCATAGGTAATATCGCTTCTTAGCCTTTTTTTTTTTATTATTTATTTATTTATTTAATAATTATTATTTCACTTCTCCTTCCTCTTTTTTTCTTTTTCTTCTTTTTTTGAAATCTCGTTTCGTTTAACTTTGTCTCCTTAGCTTCTCGCGTTTTGCACGACCGCATTGTAAGCATTATCATCGTCATCATCATCATTGTTATTATTATTATTATTATTATTATTATTATTATTATTATTATTATTATTTATTATTATTATTAATATTAATATTATTATTATTATTGTTATAATTATTATAATAATTATTATTATTCTTATTGTTATTATTATTATTATTATTATTATTATTATTATTATTATTATTATAGTACAATATTTTTAGGAGGGAGCTGAGTACCTCGGCGTGTTTTATTTCGTTCCTTCTTTTTTTCTTCTCTTTATCTATGTACAGACTTTTTACTTGAAAGAGATCGATCGATAGATATCGATCTTCTTTCAGGTTACAAACGAGTAGGTACTTACATACACACGTCTTATATCGATACCTTACGTCGTTTCTAGTCTATAGAATAGTCTAGATGTGTGATTTGCCTGTCATATCAACGATAATATTCGTTTTCTTTTTTTTTTCCTTTTCTTTTTTTTTTTTTTGTTTTTATTTTTTATCGTGTCTGTGTATTTGTGTGTATATTTTTTATTTTCACTTGATGTTTTACGTTGCTAAAAAGTACTTAAAAAGAGGGCTGCCATTGTCGTACTCCGCTTTCTAACTTTATTATCTTGTCTAATGTACGGCATGGCATTCCACCATTTACATACAACAATATCAGCGTTCGAGCAAACGTTAATCTTGAAAATATTTTTACATGTGATTGCGATATTGCATCGTACTTGTATGTACAAAGAGCACAAAGCACGAAAAGAGAGGGTTCAACATTTTTTTTCGATACATATGTAATATTTTGTCGAGTTTAGATTTGATGCAACGCAAACATGTAAATGTACATGTAGGAAGTTTCTTCTTATCACAATTGGAGAGATCGAACTGATATTTTGATGATGGAATTTATATAATACGATAAATGAGAAAAGTAATAATACGTTCAATCGCTTCAATTGCTGCAAAAAGAAAGCAGAGAAACGCCAAGGGGGCACTCTTCGAAAAGTACAATCGGATTGCGGATGATCGCATTTAAAAATCGCTGTTCACATTATACCTTTCCGTTTATTCGTTTTGGCTTATTTAATTTCCCATAATATTATTTCTCTTTTCGTTATTTTAGTGGAAGCATTTAAACACGGTATTCTTCAGGATTTCCGATTTTGTACAATCTAAAAAAATTTTCTTGCTTTTTTTCTTTTTTTTTTTTTTTTTTTTTCATAAGTGTAATAATAAAAATTTTGTAATGATACGATTTGTGTTGATTGTGAATTACCTTTATAATCGGCTAAAATAAATGCTCTGTATATCTTATGCGAGGCTGAAAAATTTCCATTATTTTTTTTTCTTTTTTTTCTTTTCTTTTTTTTTCTTTTTTTTTTATTTTTTTTTTTCTTTTTTTTTTTTGAGAAACCGAATCTATTAGTGTACGCATAATTATATTTATACAATGTAATTCCATCCACAAACCGTGTGATTAATTTTTTCACGACTGCTTTTCGCATGAAGACAGATTATCAAAATAATAGTGGGAAAATGTCTTCTGATCGATACATTTATAACACACATCACTTGAAGTATCGTTTACGTTGATAGAAATTGCAGAGAATGATATATTAGATTACTATCAAGCGTTAGAAAAGATTTTGCGTCACATTATATCTTTTTTCACGTTTAATATTCACGATTTCATGATCGAAATAATATCAGTCACTATGTAGTGAAATAATGATAATGCCGAGTATTGCAAAATAATAATGATGGCGATCATAATTTTTTTACAGGTTAACGTAATATAATTGCTCGATCGACACAATCCCTACTATAATCATAATATGAGAAAGGACAGTGTGTTGATGTAGATGATTACGTGTTTTTTGAGATCTTTGAAGATTCCTTTTTTTTTTGTCGTTTAAAAATATGTAAAAATCGCGATATAGAACACAGAAGTTTTTTTCTTCGAAGTCATAAATTGAAAAGACATTAAGAAAACCTTAACATGAGACTGGCGAAGCGAAGGTTAATAGTTTGTTTATTTACAGACACAGTTTTATCAAACGATTTATTTGCATTCATTCCTTCTTTCTTTCTTTCTTTCTTTCTTTCTTTCTTTCTCTCTCTCTCTCTCTCTCCCTTTCTCTCTAAAAACGAACGACGGTAACGTGTAACTCGCGAGAGGTAAACAACGAATTCGCAATCCTGAAGTGTCCCGATATATATACCACTGTTTATTATAAACTACGGAGTATTTTCCTGTGCTAAGTTAATATGAACGCCTATAGGAAAACTTTTCCTTTCATTTTTTGTTCTCAAGAAAAATGAAATCGCTAAAAGAAATATCAACACACGGAACTCTTCAAATTTCAAAATCATATTATTTTATCAACTCGTGATCGATATCAAGGAGGCTTTATATGATTTTTTTTTTCAATATCGAAACATTTTTTTTTTCTTGGACATTGTCCGATAAACTGAACAATCGTGTGTTGCAAACATACATACATACATATACATATATATGTATATATATATATATATATATATATATTTATATAGATGCAACGAACTCTATTTTCCAACATTATGATTGGTAAACATTCTCTATCGAACACATATTTACGTGTGTGCAGTTTGTACATATATATTGGACACTCCTCCGATATGATCCTCGCGGAAACGAAATGGAATACGTAAAACGAAACGAAAATGATATTACCGCGACCCATAATATAAAGATAACAAAATTATGTATGTTCATTTTATAACAATAGGCTGCGCAAATGTATAGAGGCACTCGCATTATTTGACCGAATGTATTTTACTTCTCAAGAGCTTCGTGAGCTCACACAAAAGTGCATACTGAAATAAAGTACGAGAAAATACATATATATATTAAATATATGTATATATAAGCATATACATACATACATGCATACATACATACATCCATCATACATGCATACATCATACATACATACATACATGCATGTATATGTATATCGTAACACGTTTGGTAGAAGCGATTTACGGTGCAGCAAATGTTGCAATAAAAAGCAATAATTTTCTTATGTCAAAGGGATTAAGGCTCGTTTTTGAGTGTCGCGTGACTAAATGAAGGAGCAGATCGCACGGTTGAACTTACGTTTGCATACAAATATAAAATTAGGCTATATAAAAATTCTTTATGTGTACATGTGTATTCACCGATGTATGCATGTGTATAATGTGTGAATAAGTGAAAAATGTAATTTGTTTTGTAATATGTATAATTGCATAATGTATTTTGTTTGATAGTCAGAGCGTACATTCAGATTCTATAATTTCAATCAAATAAAATAAAATTCACATCCATTCGCTTATGGCGGATGATAATTTTTTCCCATCAATCAAAATCGCCTGTATACGTTTTCTTTTATCTCTTTTTTTATTAATAAGAGAACGTTGGGGAAATTTTTTCCCTAGTCAGTTCATGGCGTCTAATTCCTAAATGCTAGCTACGTCACTTATACTAAGTCTAGATTCTTACAATATAGCATACGATTAAACTAGCCATCATATACCTACTTGTTCAACTTAAAAATTAATATTGTGTACTATGTACAACACTTAGAATTATACTTTTTTTTTTGTTGTTTTGTTTAAAACCCACTTCACCAAGGAGAGAATATTTAAAGTGATCTCTTTAAGACAGTACACTGTCAATATGTGCGAGAATGCATTTTATATGTCTCTTATGTCAATCATATTGACTCCTTGTCAAATTTGAGGCTAATATGCCTTTCGCACTGGTACAACAGTTGAAGCTATTTTTTATAATTCCAGACACATCACAGACTCATTCCAAATAAAAACACGTATGCCTTTTTAGCGTTATATCATTTTTTTAACGATTATATATCATTCATTATATACAAAAAAGCGTCTCCATTGTAAACTTGGGCTAGCCTGGACGTTCCACAGGTCGAATATTTTCGATAATGTTTGTTTCTAACCTTAGAAAGGATCGAGAACTTTCGTACGATGTACATTTTTTTTTTTTTTTATACATATAAACATAAGAATATGTTTAGAAAGATAATTTAACATTTTCACGAGTTTTGAATGCATTAGAAATATTGCATATATATATATATTTTTCAGGTTCATTAAAAAATATTAAATATCACGACCCAATATATGTACTTCGTAGAAGATTTAATAATTTTATAACATATACGTAGATTGTTCTGTGTCGTTTTAAAATTAAAAGATCCTCATGGTTTTTACAACTCCATGTTAGAAATTAACGATATCTAAAAAAAAAGTATTTTCTTAAAAAACAAAAATAAGTGGCGGTGAAAATAGAAATAATTATATTTAATCTAGCTGATAATTATACACAACGTTTACGTACATATTAGCGTGAAAGATAAGTAATGCGTAAAAAAATATCAATTATTAATTAAAATTACGCTGCTTGTTAGTTTCTCGTACGCTGGATGAGCATTAAAAAAATAATAGTGCTTCCGTAAAATAATCACATTTACATGTACACTGAGAGTACGGAAACGATCCTCGACTAAAAGAATACATTGACGGAATATGAAATTTATAAAATAATAAACTCTATTTAAAACCATCATATTTATAATTTCCATTTCGGAATACGATAAAGTTCGTGATAAAAAAAAAAAAGAAAAAGAAAAAATGAAAGTGAGCAAACGAACGAAATGGAACGAAATAAGAAATTCCTTCGATTCAATTATCATTAGAAAAATTATTAGATACGACCAGTTAGAACGCAATGGCTAACGCCCGAAAAACATTGGTAATTGTGAAATATTCGATATTCATTGTTGTAGTCTGAATAAGACTTCCGTCCAGTATGAACAAACTGCATAAATACCCTAAGAAGAACATTTCCACAGCGTGTAAATTAGCACACGTTGCTAACTTATTAGACTATCAATCCTCATCAGAAAGTGGCTCGTACTGCGCAGAAAGTAATGGTGCTGGTTCGGCTTGCATTTGTTCAGATTTTGTCACAGAAGCAGATCCAGAAGTTGGAGGTGGTGGCGCAGGAGGTGGGCCAGTATGAACGCCTAACGCACTGAACGGATAAAAAGTTGTAGTAGGCGCTGGTGCTGGTGGTTGAGGAGTTTTATTCGGTGTTTCATCCACCATCATTTCTCCACTTGAAGGACTTTCCACATTTCCTCCAATTTTCTCATCTTTTTCTCCACTTGTGATGTTTCCTCCATTTCTATCGGTTGCGTTACCCCCTTTATCATCCTCAGATGTACGCATCACTTCAACGATCTTATTCTTTACGTAATCCAAAGGTGACAGATGAGGTTTGGAAGGAGTTCCGGAAGTCGATGTGGCAGTGGTTGTTTCGTACAGGCGACGCCCATAGTGATTGGTACCTGCTTCTGGAGGTGAAACAGGTTCGACTGAATGGAACGATTGTTTTCCTACGGATGCTGCTGACTGTTGATGTTGGTGTTGTTGTTGCTGTTGTTGTTGTTGTTGCTGCTGCTGCTGTTGCTGTTGTTGTTGCGATTGTTGCTGCGTAACTCGAATTATTTGACGCTCATCTCCAGCCTTCACAGAATCGGGTTCGCTAGCTTTTCGTCTCTTCCACTGATCTTCCGAGATTTGATATCTAATTAAATATAATTTTTATATAATAATCTTTGTATAATATCGATAATTTTACTTAATATAAAAAATTGGATTTTTGTATAAATAATTATATAAAAACTATATATATTAAATGGATATATTCCATGTTATTTTTTCCATTCTCACTTGCTTGTTCAAAATTTTATTATTTGAATATAAATTTTACATATGAAATTAAAATAGTAAATTATAGTTGTATTAGAAACTTACCCACTATAGGATCTATATGAGGAATGTGGAGGACCATAATCTTTAGAAACAATATGATCAACATGTTCTCCAAGAGTAATAGGTTTATTGCCACCTCCATTGCCGCCTGCATTCCCAGCTCCACTGTTGCCACTATTCCCATCGCCAGCAGGACTGTGAGCCATTCCATTAGGTTCTACTGGAGCTTCTCGGTGAAATCCCTAAAAAATTTTCTATTGTATAAGGCATATCTGCGTTTTATACATACAAACATTAATAAATAATATTTGATCGCTAACACTAACACAAGTTACCTGGAAAAGACGATCACCAGGTCGTTGCGGTTGGGTATTTCCACCAGTATTTTCGACACTTTGGTTAATTTGATGTGTTATAATAGCATCTATCAGACTGGCAGCAGTTAATGTAGATGCTGATTCATTTTGTTGTTGATTGGAGGATTGGTTTTGTCTAGAAGAGGACTGTTGTTGCTGTTGTTGTTGTTGCTGGGATTGTTGCGGTTGTTGAAGTCTAGAGGATTGGGTAAATCCACTATTTATTAATCGGCTATCCCTATCAAGTTGTTGTTGCTGCTGATCTCTGTACAGTTGAGCCATATGTTGCCTTCTTTCAACTTCCATCCTCTGTTGCTGCTGAATATGTTGTTGAAGCTGTTGTTGTTGTTGTTGCTGTTGCAAATGTGCTAGATCTCTCTCTCTTTGTTGTTGTACAGCCAAACGATGTTCTTGATGTTCTTTTTCACGTTGAGCAGCAGCCACTACCATCTGCTGATGAATCTCTTTTTCTCTTTGTTGATGGACGGTAAGACGATGATCAGTGTGTTGTATATCTTTTTCTCGTTGCTGTATTGACAATCTGTGTTCAGCATGTTGTACATCTTTTTCTCTTTGCTGAACCAATCTATGTTCCTGTTGTTGAATCTCCTTCTCTCTCTGTAATCTATATTCTTCCTTCTCGCGTAAATGAACTAGATCTCGTTCCCTTTCTCTATCACGTTGATGATGGTGAGCTACTGCCATTCTGTGATCTTGATGCATAGTTAAACGATGTTTGTCCCCATAACGGTCGGCCAACAATCTGTCTGCCATGGTCTTACCAAGACCTTCGTGACTGCTACTCCCAGATGCAGGATGTCCATGTGGATGAGGAACCGGAAGACTTGGTTGCTGTACAGCAACATCCACCAAACTGGAAAAGGCCTCCAGTCCTGGTGGTGGTGGCGGATAATGAATTTGTTTTTGTGGATTGTGCCTTTGTATCACACCTTGACGAGGTTGTGTATGCGTTTGAGGTGGGGGTGTGCTGGTATAATATAACGTCGATGGTCCTTCATTCTTACTATTACCTTCAGACGTGCCAGCACTTCGACTTCGCGCGTGCATTTGTTGACTGGTTATGTAGTCATTCATAATAATTTGTCTTGACGATAACTGCTGCTCCATAGTATAGCTAGGAGGTGGTCGTCCCGAATAAGAATTATATTGATTGCTATGCGTCACTACTACTGCTGCTGTTCCAGCTTGAGTCTGACCTTGACCAGGAATGTTGCCTGTCGTTACAGGTGAATGCCTGATTGTTCTATGATAATCATACATTGGTGCACGCTTATCCACATAGGGATGAACAGGAGTTCCTTGAGTTATGGATCCTGTTTCTTTAGGTCCTTGATTACTGGGTGCATTCACAGCACTTGCACCGCTAGTCAGATTGGGTGTTCCAGCTGCACTGCCAGGATTTCCTGGAGGAGTCATCTGTCTAAGAAGACCCTCATAACGTGTATTAGACACAGGAGTTCCGTGTGTAATAGAACCACTCTTATGGCTTGTTGTCACTATTGCGCTCAATTTGGGCGACAATTTAGGATGCGGTGGTGGTACTGCAACTTTATTCATCTTAGGTGTAAGAGGTGCTTGAGGTCGTGGAGACGACGCATAGACCAACGGACTTTTGGCGCCGCGACCTTGTTCTGCATGAGCATGAGGATGATAATAAGCACTGGAAGGTTCTGGCCGATAGAGAGTGACTGTCGGTGGTTTATGAAGTGTTTGAAGGGAATGATTATATTCTTGCTGTTGTCTTGGTTTTTTAATGCTTAGATCAAGAGTGCCCTCGGTGCTTTCTCGTAATGCTTGTTGTACTTGCATCACAACTAAGCCTTCCTTTGGAAGTATGTCTGATGTAGATGACTGATTGTTCGATGGCGTGGGTGGACAAGGAGTAATTGTTGCTTGCATTTGACCTAATAAATAATTCATTAATTCAACATAATTTTTATAAAAAAAAAATCACTAATTTTTAGAAATAATTTGTAATAAAGTGATATTCTTTGATATAACTTACCAATTTGTTGAGGACTAGAAGCAGAACGATGACCATGATGAGGACCGGATACCACCGACAACGTAGCCAAATTCGAGTCCCTTGACATATTAGTATTTGCCATAGTTGACGTCGGTTTATATTCTCTCACAAATGTAATATCATTTCTATGATCCGTTTTTAATATGCTCGATATCGTTGGTGTTCCAGAATTAATTGATACTGAAGGACCACTGGTACCAGCTGGACTGTTAGGATTACGTTTCAATTGCATCTCAATAACACCAAGCATAAGATCCTTCACAGTGAGGGGATTGGAGTTGTTGCTAGTAGTGGATGGTGGTGAATGCGAAGGTTGTGCAACTTGTTGATGAGATTGCTGATGCTGTTGTTGCAGTGATGTGGGGTTATTAGCAGTTGTCAACGTGACAACCACACCATTATTTTCTAAATCGGTACCACCCTGACCTTCGTCCGCCGTCTCCTGAAACAATCAGCGAACCTCTATCAGACGGCCCTATCAAGTAACAAACTTCTTTCTATATTTAAATATAAAACAAAATAAGAAAAATAAAACATAAAATGCATTGGGTTCATTTTAACACGTTTAAATGCTGCAAGATAATTAAATTATTAAATATATTATGTTTGATTGATTGAATTTTTAAATAATTTTTTGATAATTCTTTAATACAATCTTCAATATAAAAAAAAAATAATTATTAAATCAAATATTCTTATATTATACATACATCATTGGGAATGAAAAAATTCTTATATATAAATTTTATATAAATAATTAAATTACAATTATAAAAAGTTTAATCACTATAAATTTGCATATAGAAATATGTATAGCGAGGTAAACGTCTTGAAAATATGACGTTTTAACAAATAATTATAAAATATAATTATTAAATTTCTTAAGTATATTAGTAATCATTAAATGTATAAATATATAAAAAAATAAATGCATTTAATAAAAATATAATAAACATCTTATTATTAAAAAAATTAATAAATGCTTTAAGTATTAACATTAACCATGATTTCATGTAGCAAGAAACGCATTAAAACATTTCTATCACAAATGCTATGCAAACTATATAATTTACTCTAATTTCTCCTTCTTAACTGTCAACCGGATAAAAACTTTAGTCTTACCGTGGCGGAACTATCATAATCTTCTCTAGTACCAGCTGAAGCAGCATTGCTACTTCCACTGGTGGAAGACTGTTGCGACGGACCTATGCTCACCGGCGGTACTAATGATACCACAGCAATATCCGCTAATTTCTCACCAAGTTTTTGATCTGCCGATCGCGAGAAAGCCATCGGCAGATTCGAGGATGCTGTGGCACCCGGTGTACCTGGTGTACCACTGGACAAGTTGTTCGCTGGACTGCCTGCGCTAGCCGTATCGCTTGAATCATGCAACCTAAAAAAAAAAAAAAAATGTACAATTTAACCATTTAAACATCAGATATTCTAAATGGATTGTGTATCTATGAAATATATTCTTTCAATATTATCATCAATCAAACAACTTACTGCCAATTCATCACAGCTACTCGTACTGCTACCACTTTCTTCTTCATCTGTCAAACAAGGTCTCCTTTCTTCGCCTAGAGATTGATAATATTCTGCAACCACCTGATCTAAGCTCAACTTCTTCCGATAAGCAAAGTAATAGTTCTTGCATTGATGATTCGTCTTCCCTGGTATTTGTTCGGCAACTTTCACCCAATTGGTTCCATGCTCTCGAAGGGCTCTCCTTAGCTGTTCCAATTCCTCGTCCGTCCATTGCCGAGCAAGGGAATCGACCGAGTCTTCGGGCACCTCGGCACTTCCTGTTAGGTGTGGCGCCAATCGACGGGATATTCGATTGAAGCAGGCCGAGCAACATTTTGTCGCGTTACTTGGTATTTCTGGATGGAAAGAGAAATTAAAAAAATAACATTATCGATAAATTAATAATAAAATAATTTGACGAACAATTTATTCGAAATGCTTGTTATATATTTTTATGCAATTTTACGACAATAATAATATCTATTGTTGTATATTTATTACATCGATTACTTACGAAATTCTTGAATAATTGGATCACGAATTTCGGCTGGTAGATCGAGCCATTTGGCGGGTAAAGCTCGCAATCTTTTGACCCTTGTCTTTGAAGCGTTGTTCAAATTCGGGCAACCTGGCAATGGACACGCTGTATATCGTCCTCTAACCGCTTTACACCTACAGGTATTGCACACGCGCGCACCGGATGCGATCTGATCCTCTCGCAGACCATACTGGGACGCTTGGTTTCGCGGCAATGCCCTGCTCTGCGTGTTTCCTTCCACGATATTTTGACAAACCGTGCAGGCGTGGGGACCAATCTGTCTTCCACCTTCTGGAAAAAAAAAAGATATTTCATTAATAAATTATTACTATTTATCATGACTTTCTTAAAAATGAAATTTATAATAATATAACAATAATGAAATTTTTTAAAAAATTTGAAATATCGAATTCTAATAAAATATTGTTATAAACATGTTGTTCTACTAATCAACCATTATCATTTTTATATATATAATCCCGATTATAAAATTATTTTACGTTCGAATTTTTATTCTCTCGAACGTAATATTATTCCGACGTTTTCTTCGTTACGAAGTTCAGCAAATACCAATCGCTTGATACGACACGATGGTGGCTCCAAAGCTTCGTAGCAAGAACTCTACGAAAATACGAAGAGAGAAAGAGAAAGAAAGAAAGGAGAAGGAGAGAGGCGGAGTGTGTAGGAGGATGAGGAAAAAGCGATGAAGCAGCAGGTCGGATGGAAGGAGGACGGACAGGTCGGGGCCGTACGGAAACGGAGCGAGAAACAGAATAATTACCGAGACTTTGCTGGTTAACTAATTAAGGGTAGCCAATTAAAAAGTTCTCTCTCGCCCGCAGCCTCGCAAACATTGACGTAGAGGCGGGAGACATGGTAAAATCGCTTTGATGGTTTTACCCCCGGAAACTGGGTGGGTGCCAGGTGAAAAATTTAAGTTTATTCTTTCCACTGGGCCATTATTGCCAGGGTATCGTGGGGTCATTTGCGTAAGTAGCATCGGTGAAAAGCGGTTAAAAGCGAAAGAATATGACCAAGTGCGCGATTCCAGCGAAATATTTTTTTTCCGACGGACCAATGTATAGGTTAGGAAAGCAAGAGTAAGAAAGAGAAAACGAAAGAGAGAGAGAAAGAGAGAAGTGAGCTTAATATACTGATTGTGTGAATCTTGTGATTTTTACAGAGCAAAAGAAGTTTAAGAGTTGGTTTTTTTTTTTCTAATTATCTCTGGTTCTCAATTTGCTAATTTTTTAATTCGATTTTGATTTCGATAGTATGAAAAAAGATTGGAGAATTGATTTATTAGATTTGAATAGAAAATATTAGAATATTAATTGTTGATAGATATTTAATCAAAATTTTATAGAAAGTTTATTTTTAAATTGAAATTGAAATAATGAATGAATAAATAATTAAATTATAGTTAGAAACTTATTAGTAGTGTCTTTTATATAAAGGAAGTAATTATATTAAAATATTGAATAATAATCCAAAATGTTTAATCTTCAAACATGGTGTCGTTTATTTGAGAAATTTTTATATTTCTCCATTGCATATATGATGTAATTAATCAATTTGTAAATCATACAATATTCGCAATAATTATTAATTTCTAGTATGAGATGAACGTCTTGTTAGTCTTGCATTATTTACACCAATCAAATAAATCAATAGAATGTTTGATATAACGGACAATTAAAGCTACATTAATAAACTAATTTGGTGAATTTAAAAATCATTTTACTTGTGTACTTTTCTCTATTATCATTTCTCCCCGTAAATTTAATAATTTATAAGATGATTTTTTTAGAACCTTCAAAAATTCTTGATCACATTAAAGATTTAAGTTTTCTTTCATATTCTATACAAATGCAAATTTTCATTTCATACGACGAAATAAATAAATAACAAAAATAAGGATTTAATTCATGATTTTTAATAAGGATCCAAGCAATTATCCGATCAATTCTATTCAAGTATTTGTAAAATTATCCATTGGATCGTATATGCAATGTTAAATTATGAGAAGCAATTTCTCCAGCACAAGGGAATAACTGCCAATCAGTGTCGCGAATATTCCTCGTATGGCATTTATATGATTGCTCGGTAGATAATTCTTCCTCTCGTCTCTTCCGTTGGCTATATCCGGCCGATACAGTAACATCGGTAGTCCTGCGTCAACAATAATTTTCGCCATGTTTCGAAAGATACGAGTATAGTGTGTGACAGGCCTCCAGAGATTAGTGCATGTATCATCGTAGTCCAATATATCAAAGGCGTGCAGATCACTTTGAACGATTGCAAAATCGCAGCTAATTGTTATAATATTTAATATTGCATTGGGATATATTTTTGTGTGATGAGAATCATACGAATTGCAGGTTAGAATTGTTGCATTACTTTTTTTAATCTTACATTTATAGGTTATCTTTGAATTTCAAATGGTACTCTCAACTCATAAAAAATCAAAAATATAGAATGAAAGATAAAAATGAAATATTACTTATTATAAATGTCGCGGTACATCCATGGAAAGTAGTACATCCATCGAAGGTTAGCAATTGAATGCCATGGAAGTCAATCAGCATTATAATTACCAGTGGCGCCATGAGGCTCACAAGTGACTTGATTCAACAACTTAAATTGAAGAAAAGAGAAAACAGTCATATTTGTAAAGTTTTTTAATATTATCAATATTTCAATACAACAATATAAATTTTTAATGAAATATATTTTTTATCTCTTAATGAAATATATAACAATATATTACTGAAGTAAACAACGACACTGTGTGTACAACTATATATTACTATAGACAACATGTAAGTATTTAATACTAATATTGAAATTATTTTGTAATTAATTCAAACTTTAATTCCTTCTAAATAACTATAATATTTATAATATATGCTCGAGACAAATTTAAAAAAATTATCAAGAATAGACGCGATGAAAAAAAATACATGTTACAGCAATTTTCATAAAAGAAGTTTATATCTCTTGGATATATAACATTTCCCGTAAAACTATTTTTATTCTGTGTAGGAGCATTCAAGGCCCCGAAACAAAGACTATTACAATCGGAAGAATGTCGTCGAGCTTGTTCAAACGATAAGTCAAAGAAGGGGAGAGTGAGATAGAAAGAGAAACAGTGTGAGAAGCAGAGAAACAGAAAGAAAGAGACGAAATAAAAGTGGTGAGAGAGGAAAAGGTATGGTACCTCTGGTAAGGGAGAAATATTAGCCACGTGCTAATTAAGCTGGCTCGAAACAGAATAATGACAAGGAGTATACCTTGAATATTTCATAAAGGGTATCACGAGAGAACTAGTCCTGTACACCTTTCCCTTTCCCTCCTCCCTCCCTATTTTATTTATTCACCTTCAACTCCATCCACGCATGTAATTCTTTTATTCTCCATAATTCTCTTTAAACTGATCAATGATTTTCGATCAAATTTCATTAATCGTATCGACGAGGATGATGAAAGATTTTCATAAATATGAATCACGATAAAAATTTTCAAATCAAAATTAACGAAAATATTGATCTCATCGAATTTAACAAAAAATTAATATAAAATGAACTGTACATCAGATGCATTTAATTATTTCAACTCTCTAATAATCTATCCTGATTTTTAATAATCAAAAGTAATATTCATGGACCATGTTTGAAAAATTTAACAGTCCAGATGCACAAAAATATTTAAAAATCAATTTTTATTGAACAATTATATTAATTGTTTTTACTTATTAAAACGATTATAAAACAAAACGAAATATTTAATCGTGATTCGAGTCGTCCTTCGTTTAAAACTTTTTAATATCCTAATCAATTAATGTTAAATCTGACAAAGAAATTAGAATTATTCAATTATTTATTGAGATAAAAGAATCGTATAGAACGTAATTAAACAATTTAGCATTTAATTTTTTTTTTCTTTTTTCTATCCCGTAACAGCTGTGTGCGTACCGACGATTCAAATGTGTGAACAAGCATGCAAGGGTCGGCTAATGGGTTAAACCAACAAGTGAGCATTATTACACGTGTCCCCTACGTGCATCCACCGGCTCCGGTGTTAATAAAATATTCTCTTTGATTTTAATCGTTCACGTGTACCTGCGTATTATGCGTCGAGCAAACAGAGAATATTGCCCGTTTATTCATTATGTCTGGCATAGAAAGAAAGCTCGATTAACCTGGCTTAAGCAAATGGTCTTTTAACGTATGTGAACTAAATGAAATAAACAGGAGTTTATAAGCGACGGAGAAAATGTTCCGTTACCATTTTTATTCGTAATATTCCCGATTCTAATATATACACAGTTCGTTGATAGAATTGTAGAGAACAAGAGAACGTTCGAGATTAAGGTTTTTTTTTTTTTTTTTTTTTTCATTTTTTACGCTGTTTGAATGTTTGACGAGTACAATTAGAAAGTTAATCAATCGGGACGAATGTTTCGAGTGATTTTCTTTTATTTAACGTTGATTCATTCGATTCGAGAAATTGTACGATTCTTACAAAATTTTGACAAGTAGATCTGTTTTACTCCTAATTTTTATCTAATATATGAATGGTTGTTGACTAGCTATTAAAATAATTAATTCAACAAATTGTTGAATGTTAAGTCAGTAAGTAAATATTTTTCTGATTAAAAATAGAAAAAAAAATAGAATGAATAAAACATGCACTGTTTTTAATCATAAATCCAATATCACAATTGGAACATAATTAGAATAAAAATTCAGAGCGAGTTTTTTTAATCTTGCAAGATTCATTTCGCGAGCAAGAATGGAAAATTAAAATGGGTAATTTAAAAGTGTTTGAAGATTATTAATAGATTCTTTTCCGTGCCACTCGTTCTATTCTATTAATTATTAGATATGAATTATCTATTGATTACTTTTGAAAAACTAACTTCGTTAAAATGATTGAAACTGTTCGTTCGATTATTATACAACGACTATACAACGATTTTGTCAAGAGAGATAGAGTGTAATTTAATGAAAAGAAAATTCTTTCGAAAACGCTCTTCCCTCTATCGATTCTAACGAATTTTTGTTTACGATAAATTCTGCAAGAACAGCGTTTGCACATCATTAAAATGTGCTGCACCGAACACACATGGCCAAACATCGGTAATCGAATCATTCTGAGCATATATGCGTGTACATACACGTGCACATGTATTTACACGTAGAGCCCGTTCCATAAAGTTCCCCAATTCCAAAGATTTTATTCCATGGCCAAAAACCGCGGGAATGATATTCATCGATATTCATAACAGGAATAAAATAATTCGACGTAGTAATTTCCATTATCGCGTTACGTATTTTCCGTTATATGCATATGTATAACGTTTCGTTTTAATGAAAAATACAGTTGACTCGGGATGGAGAGGGATGAGCAGGAGGGAAATGTATCCTATATATTGAATTATAGAAAAATGAATTTCTCGTTATCTGCCGTGATATTACGATTGATTTGACTTGGTTTGTATCGTTGTATTATTATTATAAACGTTCGACGAGATTCCTTGTCCTCGTATTCGCCGGATCACGAAAAACCCTACCGTACATATTTGCTTTTAATCATTTTTGTCGAAACCGTACCGTTATGTAATCTCATAAATACGTAAATAAAAAAACGCGTCGTTTCGATGCCTCGAACAAAATGTTGGTTCGCACAGGAGAAGAGAAATCTATCTACCTTCCTCCCTCCCCTTAATTCCTTTCGGTTATTCGTTTTAATTTCCATACTTCTTCACTAAATGAATCTATGTTCGTCGAACACGCGTTGCGTCGAACACAGAAAGGAAATGAAATTTTTTTAAATTCTCCTCTCTTCTTTTTTTTATTTTCAATTCGAAAGATCTTGGAAAATATCGCTTCTTTTTTTTTTTAAATTGAATTTCGAAATTCGTTCCGGAAAAATTGGTAAAGACGAATGAGTTAAAATGGTATGACACAAAAATAATATTACGAAAAACTAGTTTAATTACAGAAATAATCGATAATTTATAATTTCTCCATTAATATTATTCGTGAATTGTCAAATATAGAAATTTGGATAATTATTCTATTTAGAATATTTCTAGAATAATATTGAAACGAAATTTTATCGATTGAATTCATATATCCGAAGAAGGATATAGCGTTTTAGGATACGTTTGTTTGTATTATATAAACACTGTTTGATAAAAAAAATCTTAATAATAAAATAGAATAAAAGATTTTTTATCCATTATAAAATTTTAAAAACAAAAACGAATTCAGATGAATTTTCACAACCAAATAAATATCTCATTCTTTTAAAACACCCAAATTAATTTTTCAATCTCAAATTTATCTCTCATGCATTAAGTAACATTTTATACACGATTATATCGTATACATAAACATATTTCCAGACCAGACATATATATATGTATATTTACATGCTTACAGGCAAGTAGAGCACACGCGGAAGGCTATATTAACCGTGCACGATGTGTACCCATACGTAGATAATCCATTATTTGCACAACGAAAACGCGGCCATGCCTCTCCTGTCGAATTCAACCACATTCTCTCTCCTTCCCTCTCTTCTTGCCCCTCCACCTCTCTCTCTCTCTTTACCAACTGTCTAATGCACACAGGAACGCGACGACTGTGTGTTGCTCTGCAGCTAAAGGCATTAATTGGGATTAAGTAAATCAAGACGCTAATTAGCTCGCGCCAAGTGTATGCGCGCGCCTACCAACGGCCTTTCGAACTGACGATGAGCTACTACCTCCCACCACTCGTTCCTCTATCCATCTTTCTCACTCTCTCGCTCACTCTCTTTTTCTCACTCACTCTGTACCAAAATGTTGCCACCCCCACCACGCCAAACTCTCTAACCAATGTAACTAACTACCAACACCAAGAGAGATCACCGTTTCCCACCGGCCATTTAATTTTCCCACCCATTTGCTATGGCCACTGGCTGCTACGATTACAAATTATCCGTGTAGACAGGAAACACGTGTATTTGCAGGTAATTTTCGTTTATTATATATATATATATATATATATATAT